AATTTCAGCATAAGCTGAATACTAAACTAGAGTAAAATGTCATGGGAAAACAAGGGAGTCATGAGCAAGGAGAGTGCTCTAGTGTCATACTCTAGTGCCTGTCCTTGTCTCTGTCAGCTCCTTCCAGCTCATTTCCCTCCTGTGCTTTTTATATCCTTTAGTGCAGAGGTCTTAGCCTTCATCTGTGATGTTCCAAAACTGAACTGGAAATAGTGGTACTTGATAGGTACTTGATCATCTTGCTTACTGAAAACTTGATTTTGTTCTAAAAAGTTATTAAATGTTTGCTTTGTATTTTAGAAGCTTATTCCACTAAAATACCATGTTTGATTTTTGGGAAGTATATTGAATACTAGAAGAATGTACATTTTTATGGAATCTGAGATCTGTGTGCACTGTGGTGAGGGCCTTAGCTATGGGAAAAGGGAGTTTATTAAACCTAGAAGAAAGAACTGACCAGGACCTTCCCAGCTCTGTTTGTATTCTATAAACAGTACTTTATCAGCACCAGATACAGTGTAATTTCCTGAGCGCAGTTTACTTTTATAAACTTTAGATGCTCTCTGTCTTTGCTCAGCATGGTATCTAACAACAGGATTAAATAATTTATCAGCAGGACTGTAAGCAGTGGACAGCAGCAAAAGATAATGTTCTGACATTATATAGTCCCAGCCACTCTGAGACTTGTAAACAGAAATGAAACAAAATGGCACGCAGGCAATCAAATTAGACTACATTAAAAATTTGGAATATTCTGCTTTTCTACAGTGTTCCCGCTGATCCAGGCTTGACAGTGTGAGGTGGGGAGGAGGAGTTCCTCCTCAAATAGTTGCATAATTGAGACACAGAACGAGCATATGTTATGTTCAGCTAACTGTGGGAATTTAGATGTGCTTTATAAAATGTGTTAACGACAAGAATGTTGTAGCTTCCAAGGCACCAGGCTGCTGGCATCGCTTAGTCCTTAATTGGAGGTTTATATGAAACCTCAGTTTTTGAGTACTGAAACTTAGGAATACAAAATAATGTGATAACCGAGACACACTGTTGGTATTTAAAAATGCACAGAGTAACTAGTCTGACTTGTCTGAATCATCTATTCCAGTGTTAATAGATGTTGTTGTATGTTTTTAGAATTACAACTTTCTATTTTCTATCTGTGCGGACTTTTTGGTGTTTTCAGTTCAAGTTTGTACAGGCTTAAATTTGTTCCCAAAGGTGATCTGGAAGGGTTTTTTTTATTAACAAATTGAGGTTATGCATATTATTTTTATGAAGCAGAAAAACAACTTGAAAAGGCTAAAAAAGAAATCCTGTTTTCATTAACCTTCAAAATATCAAGACTGTCAGCCCAGGTCTTCTGTGATTATGCTGAAGGACTGAGATATATACTGTTAGCTCCTGAATCTTAAATGAAGCAGCATATGTGTTGAATCTTTAATAAATTCATCTTTTATCCAAAATGTTAGACGCTGAAGTGGGTGTTAGTAAAAACAAACAAAAGTGGATTTTTGAGATTCTGGCTAAAAATCCCTTACTCTCTGTTATTGCATTTCTTTCTGTTTGCTCCTGCAGTGCTGTCTTCCCAGTTAGTCTCTAGGTGTAGCGTGCCCTGGTTAGCCAAGACCCAAACTGTCAACGTGAGAAATCTTGGAGGGTAAGGAGCTGGTGTCTAAAGGCAGCTGCTCATCTTTCCACTGTGCCCTGCTTGGCATTGACGGCTATTTGTCTTAGGCATGGAAATAATAGTCTCTAATCTGCTTTTGAAAGTTTGTGGGGTTTTAAAGTTGTGTCCTGATTTCGGCTGAGAGGATTCATTTTCTTCACAGTAGCTAGTATGGGGCTATGTTTTGGATTTGTGCTGGACAAGTTGTTCATAAGAAACTTGGTAGCAGTAAGGTAGGCAGGCAAGTAGCTGGCTCGGGGATGTCACTGTCAGTTTGAGCACTCTTGTCTATGGGAGGTGGTAATGTTTCTCCTCCAAGCACGGACCTTGGATCTGTGGGGCTTGTTTTTAGGCTTGGTGGTTTTCTCGTTGTTGCCATTTGAAACTGAGTAGCGTTGTGCCAACCATCACAACAGTGGCTGTCCTCGAAACAAGGGCTAGGAATGGTCTGAGCTGGTTTCTGGGGTCAGGCTTTTGATTTTCCCTTACGAGGCCACTCATTCCCTCTGTACAGATTACAGTTGTTTGTGCAAAGGCTGTCAGTCTGGGATTTTTGTCTTTGGGAAAAGGGTGCAGGACAGGTAAGCTCCATTTCCTCTTCCACAGTTGCTTTGGGGTGTTACATGTGTGTTCACTTGTGAATAATGAAACGGGTTTAGCTAGCAGGTAGTCTGAGTGCAATACTGTTGTGCCACTGCAGAGTTTTTCTGGATCTTTAATAGTAACCCAGGCTGCAACATTGGCTTCCTTTGCCACTTGTTGTTTACCTGAAATAGGAACCTTTTGATGGAAGAACGTACTGAGGTTGTTATCCCATGTTTTAGTGGCTTGAGATTTTCAGGAATGAGATACACATAAGCTATTGTTTGACTTACACGTTAATAGGAAATTGTCTTCTCTTTAACATGAACTATTTATTACAGCAAATTGAAACTCAGTGCAGAGTTCTGTCAACTTCTTGCTCTTTTTCCTCAGCCCTCCTCTCATGTTCCCTCTCTAATGCTCCTGCTCTCCTTGCCTCTTGTTTCCGTACCCTTTCTTCTGGTTATCTCCCCTTCTCATCTCTCATTGCTGCATGTGTTTTACTTCTGTTATAACCAGCCAGCTTGGTTTTGTGTTCCTGTTTCTCCTCTCCTTTTTCCCTGGAAAAGACTCAGGCCTCTGACAAAGCTGATCATTAGGCAATCTATGGATTTTTGTAGTTGTAAAAAACAAGCCTGAGATGATAGCCCTGTGGTCATGTAAACACTGGCTGGTGGATCCTGGCAGGCTTCTGATGCATCTGGGTACATCTTCACCTTGCCAGCATGGCTGGCTCAGATGCATTGTCCAAGTGGTGGTTTGTTACACTTGCTGCTGTGGACCACAGAAGCGGCATTTGTGATGTCTCAGGCTGTAGTCTGCTGGTGCTTGACTCTATGGACTTCAGGTTTTTTTCACTCATTAAGTTCTGTAAACAAGATAATAGTTTTTTATTTGTTATTCCTGTAAACAAGAGAGGAACAACCCTTTTATACTCCATGGAAACTGCATGTATTCAACATTATACCAGTTTAATATGTGGCTTGTTCTAAATCAATCAGGTACAAAAATATCATTGAATTTATTCCATGGACATGCTTGATCAGAGCTGCTTTGTTTAATGACCAAAGCAAACAGACATGTGTCACTTTTTCCCTCTACCTACTCCTGTAGGACTCAGAAGGGAATGACCTACCTTTGGAGCTCTACTAGATAATAGAAGTGCCACTTAAACCTGAGCTGTGACTGTGCCTGTGCAAAGCACCACAAGTGTGTGAGAGCCTAGAGTCCAGGAACTGCAAGTACTGAGATGTATCTGAGGAACTGCATTGCTTTGTAAACCTTTTACGTCTGAGAAGAAAGGAACAACTTCATTGTAGCTTTGATGCACCATTAGCTCCCAGATAAGGAGAGAGAGCATTAAATTCTGGCTTCCTTTTTTTTTTTCCTCCCCTTTTCTTGGAGTAGTCAACACTTGTGCTTTTTGGGTTTGTTTGGGGTTTTTTCTGCTCACTTTTTTTCTCCCACAGAACTGAAATGGCAGCAGAGCCCCTCTGTAGTACACGCGCATTAGGACTAAAGCCTTGGGAGGTCAAGTTACTCACCAGAACCAGTTATTGCTTAGCTAGTCTTGTGGTAATTTTTTAGGATAAAATTATTTTTTTTCAGAGCTTTTTTTTGCAATTTTAGCTAAAAACAAGAACTAGCCCATTTTAACTTTGTTAATGAGGGCAGGGAAAGGATTTTTTCAATCCTCTGAGCTATCCCCTTCTTGGAAATGTGTGCCTGGCTGGTAGCTAGAGATGAGGCTGGTAGCCAGCACAGAAAACTGCTGCTTGTTCTCTGCCTGCGTGTGCAGGATTTGTTTATTGCCTGCTGCACTTAAGCATCAACACTCCTGTAAATTTCACATTTTAAAGCTTTTTTTTACACACCATTGTCTAATAATGCTGGTTCTGAAGCTTTTCTTGGAGTTGCAAGTGTGTGCATGCTTCCAAGGTGCTTTGAGGGTTGTATGTAGTAGTTTGTTGCCTCCATCATAATAAGTATGACCTTGGGGTGACAACATGGATATTAATTAGTAATAACTTGGCTGTCTTACCAAAATGCAGTTTAGCTTTGGCATGAATTTGTTGTCACCTCTAATTTAACATGGAGAGATTTGCTTACCGTTGTAGAATTAACGTGTGACTATTTACATCCTTAGCATACCGTAAGTGCTCTTAAGTTTTGTGCCAGTGTGTGTGTCTAGCTAAGAAACAACTCTTCACTTAATGCTATTTTACATGCACAAAGATAGTTTTTCACGCTATTGTTAGTGGTGTGGTGCTTTCACCACTGAGTTACCCGTGTTCTGAAAAGGGGGCAGAAGTGGAAGCATGAAGTAACTTTTGTCCCTTGATTTGCACAGATTAGCTTAGAATCAGATATTACTCTTAACTGGGCTCTGGTTCCTGGTATATTCTGTCTGATAAAGTGTGTGCTAGGAAATACAGAGTCTACCTGTTCTTGTTAAGTAGTGTGCTGATAAATATTTTGTCTACTTGTGTTAATAAATGCACAATTGCTTAATCATTTCTAGAGCTTATAGTGATCTTGATCTTCAGAATGTCTCCTAAACAAACTGGACAGCGAAGAGTAAGCCCCCAAATAAATTTAATGTTGTATTTATAACAAAAAAAAAACCCCTCTAACATTTTCAAGCTTGCAATCTAGAAGGCATTTTAAATACATGAAAATTATGCTTGTGGTTTGTTTTTCTAAGCTTTCTTTTTCCATTCCTATTCTTTGCTGCCATTTGTGTTACATGCAGGCAACTGGAGTTATTTCGGATGGGGAGAGCAGCTGAGTATGTAACAGTTTGATGTCTTGCGAGTTTTCTGATCCTGTAGCAATGCAGCATGCTTCAGTTCAAGGACGGTGGAAATATTCATGCATATAGAAAATCTGTTCCATTGTATTTTCTTTTACTTTCACTGAATCTTTGCATGAATGGCTGCCTGTTTGTTTTTCACTCTTTTGGCCATATTTTAAATGAGTTGCTTGTGCCTTTTACTGGAATTTGAGGATAAGAAAGCAGAATTTGACTACTCATCTTTTCCTGTAAAGATGATTCTGTTTTTCTGCTTGTACCCTTCTTTTGTGTTGACCTTCATACCCATGTAACCCCAAGTCAATGTTTGGAGTAACTGAAAAACACAAGGGAATCTGAAGTGATTGTTTTACTAAGGTGCAAAGACACACTGGAAGTGATCACAGAAATTCCAAATACTACAAATAGGAGCAAATCTAAAAGTAGAAATGGCTGGTGGACACCAGTGTGACAGAAGGGTTGTAGGTATTGTGGCATATTCTAGGTCAGTGAGACAGTACCATGGCAAAAGTGGTAGGGCTTTGCTTTCTCTAGTGCTTGCCAGCCTTGGAAAGGTGAAACCTGGATATCACAGCTGTCTGTGGTATCTAGAGCTGATGCCCACAGCTGAAGAGTGGTGTGTGAACTCTTGCAGAGGCCACACAGCTCAATGTTTTTGTTAATTTTTCCAGAAAATGTGCATGAGGCATCTTCATTTTCTGGAAGTCCCAAAAGTTCCAGCAGGCAAGGCTTCTGCTTAAGCTACAGTGCATGGCTTCTACTGCCTGTAGGACCAGCAAAGATTGATCCAGCAGTCTTAAAATGAACGTGTCTGTTCCCTGTGTCAAAAAAAAAAAAAAAAAAAAAAAGAGCAAGGATGTTGCTGAGGGCAGGCATGCGAAGAAAGACAACTGTGACCACTGCCAGCAAGGGAGGAGATTCTGCCTAATGCTTTTCCATTTTTGACAGAATTTGGAGAGGACACTCTTACTGCAGCCAAGTAACTTAAGTCTAATGTCCAGCTAATGTTATTCCAGATGGACCTGTTCTGCATTTTAGAAGTCTTCCACCAGTGACTTCCCATTTTCTCCTCCCGCAACGTGTTTTGTCCTCCTTGTTCTGTCTTTGATCAGACTGTAAGTTCTTTGGGCATCTGTTGACCAACTTCCTCAGACTGTCACTGTTGGATATCTTAGTTGTTTGGATATCTTAATTGTTTGGAGTTATTCTCAGAGGTGTGATAGGATAACTGAGAATTAACTTTTGTATACTACTAAAAGATTAGTGTCCTAAATAGGTTTCTTTTATTCCCCGATTTTGTGTGTTTGGGAGGGAAATGGGGTGCTTAGGCATTGGTCAGGCAGAGGTTTAGGAGGGTTGTGCACAGCGTGTTTCTCATGTTTATCTGGAGTGTTGGTGTGCGGTGTTTTTGTTTAAAAGTTGCTTGTATTCATTTAGCTCCCTCCTTGTCTTCCTCCTTCCCTCTACTTCATCCTTTGTGTGCCATCCTCTTCGAAATCACGTTAGCATCCTTATAGGCAGGCTTGGGCCAGTGTTGATGATGTTTCCAAGAGAACTCCATTAGCGTGATGATATAATGAAAAATATACTTCTAATTGTAAACTTACAACAGCAACTGAGAAGGAAGCAGCTGAAGCAGTGTACTAGTAGCTGGAAGACTTTCTCATGGTAAGAGCTTCTTGAGAGAAGAGCGCTGCAGCCCAGAGCCTCACTACCGGGGCAGAGGATGCTTTAGAAAAGGGACGTCTTGTGCTGCTGACCTGGTTTCATTTTAGGAAAGGGAAAGACTTAAAGAAGTAGGGTCGATGTTCAAGGCAGTCTTTGCAGTTCAGGGTGTTGGTCTATTTCTTGACTGTTGAGTGTTTCAGCAGCAAAAAGTTTTTTTAGGTGGGAAAAACAAGGTTATGAAAGTTCTCAAACTGAAGACTGAATATTGCTTACTTGCTGTCTTAAAATTATGCAAATTTCTACTGTATTTTTAAGTGGCGAGGGCAGTGGAATGAACTAATGCCCTGCAAAGTTGCTTTTGAGTTTTTAGCGTGGAGGGCTATAGAAGAGCCTCAAAAAAATGCCCTCACGTCCTTTTGAGATTTTTTCCCCCTTTGTTACTTCAATAGTCCTCTTAAACCGCTATGCATTTTAATGATAACATTTCAGAAAGTGTACATGATTGTCAGAAGTGACCGTGGTTTGGTAGACGATGGAGTCTGAGACTTAAGGAAAGAAACTGTTGGCAGCTATTGTGAAAAGTGATTTAAATGGATAAAGGGTGGGGAAGGTGAGTTGCAAAAGGGCCTGGTGTGGAGCTGGCAGAGATCTCTTCTGGATTTGGATTGGAAGTCATTCCTTCGGTATGCTTTCTTCTTTTCTGCCATTTTGAAAATAGTCAAAAGCTGTGAGAACTTTGGTGGCTTATTTGGAGAAGTAGCAGGGGGTTTAGGATACAGAACCTTACATGAACTTCGTTCTTCCCAAGTGCCTTTGTGTCGTGCACTTACTGCTTTTGTCCAGGTTTTTGCTCAAGTTTGTGGAGGATAACTAAGGTTAGGGACTGGACCTCAGCTCCCAATAGCTGATGACACATCACTGCTGGAAAAGCAGGAGGCAGTTTTAATGGATTGCAACCTTTTGAGAGGAGCTCCTGCTGTGCATTGGGACCTTAAAACAACAAAAACACTTCAGAAAGTGCATTCATCCAGCCACCTGTAATTTTGCTGTTAGCTTTCCTTCCTGTCCTGGAGCTTGATGCAAAGAAATTTTCCAGAAGTTAAATTTGACTAGTAGAGCTGGTGTGACAGGATGGCACAAAGTAGTTTTGAGGTCAGTATATTAAAAGCTGTGTGTGTTCTGCCCTGCAGCAGTGGTGTAATAATTTCTGGAGGCAGGAGTGGGGAGGAATAACAGAATTGCCAGGAGGCAGTTTGTTTCAGAGAAGCTACCTGCTTTCTTGATTTTCCCCACTCTTTGTAAAATCCTGCTGTGTGATGTGATTGTCCAATAGGTTTTCTTCTTATGCTGCCTATATGCATGAATATTCAATTGTTAAATATGAACAGCATGCCTTGCCTTCAGCCTTTCCCCCCACTCTATACAGCGGGTCTGGTGACAATGAAACACTTTTCATCCCTTGAAAGCTCTTTGGTACCTGTGAAATTTCTCAAACTGGGGTAAAACAGTTACTATATTTTTATGTTTATTGTTATGTATCTTGTTATTAATTAACTGATCTTCAGAGACTGAGGCTAAGCTACAACTTTCCTTATGGAAGACTTCGTGTATCTTCTGTTTGAAGAAGATAGTGCTTCAATTTATCACACCATGTGTGTTGAGGGATATTTTGCTGAAACAGGCTGTAATGCCTGACCCTTCCTTTTGAAGGGATACTGCACTCCCAGAGCTGCTTCTGTAAGTTCTTGTCAGTGTCTCGCTTAAATAAAACTTAAGTGTAAAGTATGTTAATGAAAAGGATCATCACCATGTGCAGGCATTTCACAATATGCTTTCTTACAAGGGTAATGTGTGCTTATAATCCACATATGGGCCAGGTTTTGGTGTTTTTCATCAGGCTGAGCAATGTCTTCTTGTGAACACTTCTGTTAAATAAAGTGAGATTGCTCTTAGGATAAGTGCAATTCAACACGAGTAAGAGTTTCCAGAGTTGGCCTTTATTTATCAGTCAGTTGAGGACTTCTGCCTGGTATTAACATCTATGGATGCTGTAGGTGTATGGCACATACATCAGAGAAGCAATGTGTTCCTGCCTCATCGATGCTTGCGGTAGCTGGAGCCTTGCATCCTTTAAACATGTCATTGGGGAGGCATTTTGTGTCATGACCTCTAACAGACTTCCTCATGCTAAACACCAGTAAGAACTGGGAAAAATTCTGGTGCCACCTTTTATAAACATATATGCTGTAAATGTTCAATTAACATTTAAGCTAATCAGCTATTTTAGATATTGCGTAGAGATATTCATATGGGGAATTTGTTTGATAGTACAGAGGTGAGATGCGATGACAGGTTAACAAATTCAGATAGTGCTTTTGCAGCAATCCGATCAGGAATTCAGAAATCTCTGAGCCTATGGGCTATGCAGTTACTGACCCAGAGAAGCTGTGTCCTGCTAACCAGCCTGATAACCATAGTTGTGTAAGTCTTTGCATGCCCCGATATTAAGTTTAGACCAGTATTGGTAAGTTACTGGATTCCCTATTGTTTTGACCCTGATAATTGTACTACTGATTTATATTTGTTGTTATATTGTTGTGGGGAGAAATTGTTCATCCCTAAAGCTGTTGTTCAGATGTCTTTTACTAGATCCTGAACCTGTAACTCAATTGGGCTGCCTTAAGCCCTTACAAGTGCTTGTAATGATTATACAGCCACAGCTGGGAGAACTTTGCATCATACCAGTGCTACTTAGGTTTTACCTTAAATAAGAGTTATCTTCGGATAAAAAGAAGAAATAGTGGAGCAGCGAAGTGAGGCATTACAAAGCTCTTTGAAACAGTGTTTCTGTCCCAATAAAAGTAATGGTTCAAGTGTTCAGCAATGACATTGCTCAGCTGAGTAACGGGTTATTATCCTTCTGAGGATGGTGTGCGCGTTGTGATCTACAAATAGATTAGCCCTTGCTCCACAGACTGGAAGTTTGGTGCTTCTCAGAGAAGTTTGGCATATTGGCATATCAAGTAATTTTTGTGTGTCGTATCTTGAGTGTTTTTCCTAAGCACAGAAATGTAATAAAATTGATGGACATTGTGCTTTTAATAAAGCTGAATAAAGCAATATATGATTGGTATTCATTTCTATTAAATTGACTAGAGACTGACAAGAACTATGCAGCATTTAAACTAAAAAGCACGAGGCTTAACTCCATTTTCGATGTGGACAATGAAATTGAATTGATTATACTTAGGAGAGTAGAGCTGGGCTTTTTCACGTGTTTTGTATTTTGCAGACATGTTTTCTGCTGGGGTTGTTTTCTACTCTTCCATCCACTTGAGGGACTTGACATAATCTTACTCATTTGGGAAGGAACTGAAAAGATCACTAAGAGCAAACTTTACCTTTGGAAATTGAACTGGAATTGTTGGAAGCACCAGTGGAAGAAAAAGGTGTTCCCTGATGCTGCATTCCAACTCCTCGGAATTTAATTTTTTTTTTTTAAAGATCTGGCATGAAAACAGCACTTTCACTTTACTGTTCAGCCTCATAATGAATGTCTATGTAGGGCACTTACCACTGAATAACTTACCAGAGGGGGCTTTGATTTGATTGTCCTTTTCGACAGGCTTTTGGTGGCAGAGAGAATGAATAATGGCTGATCCTTATTTTCCTTTGTTTCAAGCATGTTAATGGTGCACTCCACTGCCGTATGGTGTGTGCATTTCACGTTAAGCTTGCAAAGATAAACTTACATCCTGTACAGCCAAACACAGCCACATGCCAATATTGTATTTTTCATACCTTTCCTTACTATAATTCTGTGTTCTCTTTTTCTGAATGGTTCGCAAGCAGAAGTGTTTCTGCAGGGAGAAAAACTCATTGGAAAGGAGCTTTATCCCTTGTGAAAGCTATCATTAGTGTTGACTACTAAAGTTAATGTACCTGTGTGTTAAATGTAGCGATTTTTCCCCTATAAGAAGTAGTATAATTGTTTGTAAGCATAGCCGCTCTCCCAGTTCTTCTGATTTTCCTGAGTACTGTTCATTAGTTTCTCTCAACTTAAACTAATACTTCCACCAAAATAAAAAAAGGCACTAAAAAAATAATCCAGAACCCTAAAGTACTAGTTAAGGATGTTGAGAAGAGGAGATTCAGCTTACAGTTTAAAGGTTGAAGTTTCTAGAAAAGAGTTCCTTTCCATAAAGGAATATTTATGTTTTGGGTTTGGTGTCCTGTTTCCCCCCCACCCCCCACAACATCTAAATGTTCATTTCAGCAAAGAACCTGAAATTTTCAGTGTTGGGGGTTTTTTTGTTTTAAATAAAAATATCTTAATCTGCTTATTAGGAGTGACTAAAGAGAAATAAATTCCTATAATAGGAAGTGGGAAAGGAGGGCATGGAGGCGATCACAGAAATGCTTTGGTACACACTTGAGAGAACTGGAGATTATAACTAGCTGCCAGATGGAGATCTATCCATAGCAGAAATAGCCTTTTTTGTCATTCTTTAAAAACTAAATGGGCTTCACTGTCCCAGCAAGGCAACTTGAGAGAGCTGTGCCTTTAACTGTTTTTGTTTCTTAGCCTTTGAAGATGCTGACAGCGCTGTGGATGATCGAGACAGTGACTATCGCAGTGAGACAAGTAACAGTGTTCCTCCTCCGTACCACACGACTGCGCAGCCCAATGCCTCTGTGCACCAGTTCACTGTAGCGTCACGCCTGCAGCAGCAAGGGGTCTTGCGGGAGTCCTGTACTGACTCCCTACAAAATTATGATCTGGATTATCGGGACCATGTGGCCATCAGGTGGGTGCTGTCTTCTGGGTAGCTCTTCTTTTCCCATTGATTTTTGCATTGCAGATCCTGAAGGTGCCATGCTAGCAGAGGAGGGCGGCTGGAGGGTTCTGAAAGGCTTCTGATAGGAAGGTGTTACATGTTTTGTTAACACTAGGACTCAGCTGTGAACCAGGAAAAACCCATAAGGCTACCTGTTACACCAGATTTTGTAGTTTAGAGAATTGCCTTTTAAAGACAGGCTCAACTCTGAGGTTATTTATTCTTTGTTCTACTTTCATCTTACCTTTTGAAGGCCAGAGCACCAGGTAATTGGTTGTTCTGGTACCATTTCATGGGTGTGCCTCCCAAGCCAGTGAAACATGGTCTAGCAGAGTTGTCCTACTAGGAGTTTCTTTCTTGGGGCACATTTATTTTCTGTTTTGGATTAGCTCCTCTTCTTTTAGCTCTGCTAAAACAGCATATTCAGGAAGAAAGTCTATAACCAGTTAGTGATTTGTTTGGTTTTTTTCAGTTATCATGTAGCACTGTTGAATATTGTGTTTTCTCTTTCGGCTTCCTTTGAGCTGTACGAAAGATAGTTTACTTGCTGTAAATTAGTTTTTTGACCATAAGTCAGTAGTTTCACAACTGCTTTTATCATTTTTAAGTATTAAGCATTACAGCATTAAATTACCAGGATCAATAGCTGTGAACTAGAGCTGGTTGTGCTGGGAACTGTAGAAACTTTACAAAACCACTGTTAGAAATAAAGGATGTTAAGTGTAAGGGGAAAGCAGAACTTGGACAGTGTTTAGTAAGAGGGCAAGTGTAGAACAGGCCCTGCTGCTGCTTCTGCCTTTGGTGTGGAAGGAAGAGGCGATTGCTTGAACTCTGTCATAGTTAGAGGTGCAGGTTTTTATTATAACTGATTTGTTGTACTTCACCCCCCTTGGTAAGAATGTTCTTGCTTCCTGATGTCTGAACCTGAATTCAGTTGCCCTCAGTGGTCTACGGCTGAGGCTAAATTGTAGTCTTTTTGCCTTATGGTCTTTAATGGTAAAAGCTGAAGTTTAATGACAACACTTAACTGTTGTTACTGTTTTTGAGAATTCAAGCAGCAGAGACAAATATGCCACCAAAACGCATTTACTGCAGTGTGACGTGTCATTCCTAGTGCTCTTTTAGTGCTCTTCAGACAGTCCGTTAACTGTCTTTATATAAGGAAGTTATTTCCTTTCCCATGCTATTCTGTACTGCTGATTTGAAGTGGTAAAATTGCCAAAGATCTTACTGAGAGTCTGGGAAGATGAGCTGCAGCTTTTTCTTTATGTAAGAGCCAAGGTGAACAGTGGTAATGGGTCCCCAGGCTGCGGAAGCCTGTGGTGACTGGATATTTTTGCAGTTATGTGACTTCTCAGGGTGGTGTTGACAATACACAGATACATGCTCACCTTGCTTGGGGGTGGTGTGGTGTGAACTTTTAACTATGTCTGATAGGTAAATATGTTTATAAGACCTTCCAAAGAAGCATTTCTGGTTTGAATTGTTAAAGAATACCAAGATGGAATATGTGCATTTTTTCTAGTTTCCTGAAGGTGTTGGTATGAAAGAATCTGGACTGATAATGTTTACTTAAAAACTAAGAGCTTTGTAGTCTGCTGTGGTCTAAAATTACTTTCACTGCAGGAAGGCAAGTCCTAGATGGTGATCAATTCCATCTGAGCATTCCTGTTTCCCTGTTCATTTTCCACATACCCAGCAAGACTTTTTGCTACATATTTAATCTTAAAATTTAGAAAATGCAAATAAGCTCTCCAAAGAAGATACATGGGATTCTCTTTCTTGCCAGAAAGGTATTTCTAATGAGAGCTGGCTGAAAAGAAGCATGTAGGTAGATGTTAAATGTTTTCAAAAGAGAGTTGTAGCTGAGTATTGCAAAACCAAATTGGGTTTGACTTTTGCTTCTAGCAGCTCTAACTGTCATGGACCAGGCAGCCACCTGATGAAATCAGTGTTCCTGGCAGACTGCAGTTGGTGATTGCTGAGGAAATGACAGCTTGTAGGAAGCCGCCCTGGGCAGACCCAGAAGAACCAGGCAGAGTTCTGCTAGAACCTGTCTTGAATTGGGCAAAAAGTTGTCTGTGCCAAAATGTTTCAATTGAAACTGGCTGTACTAACACCTGGGTTTTTCTCTAACAACACTTCACACTCTACACTTTGATAGAAGTACATGTATTTTATTCCGCTCTCTCCTAAGGATAACAAGTAGTATTCTTATTTGTCCTTGGACTGTGTTTTGCTGCCAACAGCCAATTTGACTTAAGAATAGCACACATCTTCCCCTCGGATTTTTTTTTTTTTTTTAAGCACTAACTTTTCTTTGCAGTCTTCATTTTGTGTAACCATGTGTCCTCCATGTCTCCCTGCTCTTGCTCTATTTACTTCCAAGGCGATATGATAGCATAGATTCCACTGTGGGTGCCCGAACTGACCCAGAGTCCACATCTGAGTCTAGTCAAATGACAAGCCGCCAGTGCTCGCTAGAGAGCAGGCGCTCTCTAGATCTGTCTGATAGGTGGGTTAACTTCTTTGCAGCCTGTGTGCCTCTCTCCTTGCTGTTGCTGTTGTGAAGTGGTCTTGTGGTACGTCTCAGCTGATACTCGCTGTTCGCCATGGCTCTGTTTCAGATCTGTGGTAGTTTAATGCTGGGCTGATATCATCTTTTTTTCCCTCTCAGGTGTTGGACATCAGTCATTGCTTTATTTCTAGTAAAAGGAATGCTTTGTAGAATAGCAGGGGAAACACTTATGGGGAGGGGGAGGAGCACAATTAGAAAGAAAAGTAATTTCCTTTATGCTTAAATGAGTAAATTGTTTCAGCTAATGGCATTCACATAGCTGCCATTGTTTTCCACTGAGATTTGGAAGGGCTTGATCCAGTAACTATGGAGGCCCTGGGAGTCTTTTAAATTTCATTAGGTTTTTAAAGAAAATTATTTCAATTATCAGCTTAAAATTGAAAGCAAGAAGTGGAGTAAGTGTTCTAAACTGTGCACAACAGGGCTCATTTAAAGTAATGAGTATCTTTCCAGTTGGTGTAAGTTAGCTAATACTGGTGGGAATGAAGCACTAAACCAGCAGTAGTGAAAATGCAATGACTTATTTCTCTTTCAGGGCTATCCCATCAGTATCCTATATTGGGGTGCCCCAGGCAACGCTCAGGCTGAAGGCTCTTGTATTAGCAGTATCCATATGATGCCCATGTGCCCTTTGCCCTTTCCCTTCTCTTGCTCTGCTCTTATGGGGCCAGGGCATGCGTGACCTCATGTTCCTTAGTTCTCAGCAATGAATGATGCAAGACAAAGCTGCTACGCATCTTTCAGATGAGAGTTTTGATTATTTTTTTTTTTACGTCCACTTTCTACCTGTTTATTTTTATGTAGGCTGGCAGGAACTCTTCTTGGAGATTTAGATAAAGAGGAAACTTTCTTGCCACTAGCCTTTGGGTTGTTGAACAATTGAGATAATTCTTCTGATCAAGGGCTAGGAATTAATCCCAAAATCCCAAGAGTAATTTACTTGGGTTTCTAGGAAGCTTCAGATTGATAGCAAAGCACTAGCTGCTTTAATCCATTCTCCCACAATGGACAAGTATAGATTGCTGGATCTGTTTAGATACATTGTAAATGGGAAGTACAGATCCTGAAAAGCATCTGAAGCTTACTACGAGCTAATATCCATCGCCCATATTTTGTTTTGCCTTCTGATCCAGTAACAGCTCCAAGGATCTTCATTTTGTGTTGGTAGGAGCTCCCTGAGGGCACTTTCTGCAGTGAGAGCACTCCCAGCGAAGAGGAATGGTGGAGTAGCTGGAAGTCCTCATGTTGCTGATGTGCATAGTTTGCATTTTGCCCCCTCTGCCCATTTCCCTGGAGTCCAATGTCTCTTGAGTCTTGCATGCAGTCTCTGCTCTGTAGCCACCCTTGTCAGAAACAAAGTCCCTGAATACTTTATGAATAGCTTTCATAGCTTTATGAATACTGCTAAAACAACGTCTGTAGCCTAGACTGACCGAAATGCATACATAGCATAGTGGAATGGTGTGCGTGGGCACTGTATCTCAAAGTAGTCTTGTTACTGTAATCAGTGACTTTTTTCAGCACGCCTAAAAAAGTAACAGCAGAGTACTGGTACAGCCAAGGCTGTGTGCCCTCACTTGATCATAAAAAGCTGTTCTCCTTCAAACAGGCATTTCTAAATTTTGTGCAACTGTAACTGGTGGAATATCACAACCCATGCTGCTTTTTTTGACTATTTGATTGAAATGTAATGGTGATAGATTGGCAGGTTTTCAGTTTTGTTATCTCTGGATGTTTCTGATTTTAATTTTCCTTTATTTAATGCATATTTTCTCATTACTAATTTTTCTGTCCTTCCTAGAGCTTTTTTAAAAACTGTTATTTTCCCCTTCCTATTTTTTTTCTGCCTCTCTTCCTTTCCCTCCCACCCTCTTTATTTCTCATCTTAGACAAGGATCTCTAACTGGAAATGAAAGAGTCAGGATCATTCCATTTAACTTTGAAGATGGAGAAGAACAACAGGAGAGTAACTATGAAGAGCTAGGAAAATTGCTAATAGAGGAATTCTTAGAAAAGAGTCATAAAAATAGAAGTTGGCAGGAAACAAAAATAAAAAAGATGCAAACTCTCTCAAAAAGAGAAAATTTCAATCATTGTGAAAGATCAAGGTGCTGCCAAAATGCGTGTGTGGAGTCAGGGTCTGTAGATGTCCCTAGGTATCCTCAGGAGTATGATACAATAGATAGGAGAAGGAAAAAGAAGCTACGATACAATTTTGAAGAGAGTGAACAAATAAACCTGCAAAGTAATGAAGGTCTGCAGTTTCCTGGGGAGAAAACCATTTATTTCAATGGTGCAGCAACTAGTTCTGAACCTAATGATGATTTCCCAGTATTTGACAGAACTGGAAAATATACTGGTAGCTCTGAAAGTAAGGAACAGTTACCTGCTT